GGCTTAAAACAATGGAGACCTTCAGAGGCCCTTTTTGGGGTCTGGAGCAAGACAATATAAAACTGACAGTAAGAGGCTGGGAAGATGGGCCAGTGGGAAAAGTATATGTCACGAAAGCAGGGAGACCTCCAACCTCCAGAGGCCATGGGAAGCTGGTGCAGTGGCAGGGACTTGCAGTCTGAGTGCTTCTGTAATGAGAAGTGGGAGGCAGGGACAGGTCCCCAGAAGTCTGTTGACCAGTTGGTTCCCTAGCATCCACAGTGGCAAACAACAAAAAGGCTCTTAGACAAGGTAAGGCAAGGACTGATGCCCAAGATTATCCTCTGATGGTCACACATGTACTAGGTGCATTTGATTTCCCATACACATAGCAATACAACACACACACACACACACACACACACACACACACACACACACACACACACACGATAAAGGCTCAGTGAATATTTGTGCCTCCAGCCTTGAAGGCCAAGATGAGATGGGTAGATATCACTGGTTTTTAGACACAGATTGATATCCTTATGCGCACAGTTAGGCAGGTGTCTGACCCAAAGTAAACAGACATAGAAAATGAAGACAGAGCACTCGGGAGGCAGAGGCAGGCGGATCACTGTGAGTTCGAGACCAGCCTGGTCTACCGAGTGAGTTCCAGGACAGGCTCCAAAACAATACAGAGAAACCCTGTCTCGAAAAACCAAAAAAAAAAAAAAAAAAAAAAAGAAAATGAAGACAGAGATGCTAGGCTTCCATTCTGCTTTTAGTTATTTTGTGGGCCCAAAGCCAAAGCAGTTTCTAAGTGTTTGTTGTATTTGCAACTTTATACCTATTAAAATTCTTTTAAAATGCCTGAGTAACCTTTTATCTGTAAAACTTTTATTATTATTATACTGATTTGTTATCTGCAATACTAATGAGTTCATTCTTTTTTGTTGTCAATTTGTTTTGTTTTTCAAGACAGGATTTCTCTGTGCAGCCCTGGCTGTCCTGGAACTCACTGTAGACCAGGCTGGCCTTGAATTCAGAGATCCACCTCCCTCTACCTCCTGAGTGCTGGGATTAAAGGTGTGCACCACCACTGCTGCCCAGTGCCATCTCTTGTTTTTAAAGCACATTATTGCGTTTGTACTTATTTAGTGTATGTGTATTAACTTGTGAGCATGTTGTGCCCGTGGAGGTCAGAAGACACCTTGTGGGAGTCTGTTCTCTCCTACCATCTTGTGGGTTCTGGGACTGAACTCAGGTCATCAGGCATGGTGGTAGGTACCTTTATGCTGATCCAACTTGCTGCTCTCCATTTCTTGGCCATTTCCCAAGCCTTGGGGGCTACTCATCAGGTAAAACCCGGCACCCGTTTGTTTACAGTACCGAAGGCCTTCTAATACTCAGTGGTTAAGCTGAAACCTATTAACTCTCAGGTTGGTGAGAAATGACTAACCTTCCTGTGGGGAAGGTGAGACTCACTATCTAACAAAGGTTGAGAAAGAGGGACCCCTTACACTCTGATTCAGGAGAGAAACCTCCCGACGCAGAGAAGAAACATATCTTTGTGATCCAGATAAAAGCTCCCAGTAATGGTCAAAAGTTCCCAAGAACCTTGAAGTTGACTTAAGCACTCCTTTATGTTCAGGTAGAGGAGGGGGTCAGTCGATTTATGACATACAGAGATAAAAATCTCATGGTCCTCCAATAATTGTTCCCTGGCCCCTTTCTGGCCTTGAACTCATTCTGTAGCTCAGACAGGATTTGTACTTGTGATCCTTCCCTTGCCGCAGCCTCCTGAGTAGTTGGAACTACAAACCTTCATCATGAGGTTCTGCTAGCATATGGGTATTTGCGTCACAAACCACTACTTTTGTTTTTGTAATAGATGTAGTTCTTAACAAGTGGAAGTCATGTAAAAAGAATTCGTCAGTTTCCATGAGAATTACAGTCATGTAAAAGAATTTGAGGTATTTGTTATTTGAAGGTCGAGCACTGGTTTAAAATTTTCACTAAAGATGTAAATTTGAAAATTAGTATTCAGCATTCCTACAGATTAATGAAGAATCTTGGAAGGAATGTTAATCTTCATGTTAGCTATCTCATTAAATTCGGTTATGTAGTTCTTATGCCTTCCCTGTCCCGTTAGCTGTTGTGTGGAACCAGTTGCATACTACTCCCACTGAGAAAGTAGACTCGTTCTGTGGTTACAGAGTAGATGTTAGAACTGAGGTCCTTTCCCATAGGCCACACTGTTCTTATCCCAGTTTAGAGGTTAGGACACAGGGCAGAGCCTCAAGTGAGAGCCCATGTTTTCAGTAGGGAGGAGGTTCTCAGGCCCCTGAACTCATGTCCCACTGACTTGGCCCTGGAAGCTGTCATCTCTCTTTTATTTAGGGGAAATAAGACCTCTGTTAGAATATAAGGAGAGTGCCCCACTGACTTGGCCCTGGAAGCTGTCATCTCTCTTTTATTTAGGGGAAATAAGACCTCTGTTAGAATATAAGGAGAGTGCGCGTTTCAAAACTGAGATAAGAGAGTTAAATCATTCTGCCATTCAGGTCTTTCTGTTCACAGTAAAGCCCCGGGGCATCTGATTTGGAAGGAAATAGGCACTGGGACACTCATGGCTCTTAAGCATCAGAGCTGGGATGGAGAGATGGCTTAGTGATTAACCGTGCTTGCTGTTTGTCCAGTGGACTTGAGTTCGATTCCCAGTCCCCAGGTTGGGCATAACTGCCTGTAAGGCTGGAGACATGGCTCAGAGGTTAAGAGCACTGGTTGCTCTTCCAGGGGTCCTGAGTTCAGTTCCCAGCCATCTATAATGAGATCTGGTGCCCTCTCCTGGCGTGAAGGCATAACTGCCTGTAACTCCAGCTCTAGTGGATCCAGTGCCCTCTTCTGGCCTCAGGGTACTCACACAGAGCATATAGTCACATAGACAGATACACATAAGTAAAAACAAAATAAACATTTTAAACAAAAGGATAATTTTTAAAAAGCATTAAGGCTAAAAGTTGGACTTCAGAACACAGCCCTAGGAAGGGAGGGGGATGGAAACGAGGATTACTTAGCAAAGGTGATGAGAATACTTGGTGCTGAGGTAAGAAAGATAAAGTTTTGTAGCATTTCAGTAGAGGAGATGTGTTTCTAGCCTAGGAGGGAGGATGAGACCTTCTGGCCACTTACAGAGAAAAGATGAAACCTCCAGACCAGTGGTTCTCAACCTTTTTTTTTTTTTTTTTTTTTTTCGAGACAGGGTTTCTCTGTGGCTTTGGAGGCTACCCTGGAACTCACTTTGTAGACCAGGCTGGCCTCGAACTCACAGAGATCCGCCTGCCTCTGCCTCCCAAGTTCTGGGATTAAAGGCATGCGCCACCAACGCCCGGCTGATTCTCAACCTTCTTAAAGCTGTGTGTGACCCTTTAGTAGAGTTCCCCCATGTGGTGAGCCCCAGCCCCAAAATTACTTTGTTGCTACTTCATAACTGTAATTTTGCTGCTGTTACGAATCGCAATGTAAATATCCGGTATGCAGGATCTCTGATGTGTGACCCTAAGGGTTGTGACCCACGGGTTGAGAACCAGTGCTCCAGATGCATGCCTGAAGAAATGAGTCCTGATGGTCAGATAAGGACTGGATAAAGATAAGGATTGTCAGATAAAGTGTCACAGTCCCCAAGCCCTATTACACTCTGAAAGGGTACGTAAGACCTCCTTGCACTCAAATAGAAGATATGGAATTCTGTGACCCGTAGGCAGCAGGGATAGGATCTTGAGACAGACAGACATGAAGTTGAGATGAGACTTTTGAACAGAGTAGAGAAGACAGATACTCTTGGAGAGGAGGGAAAAGCATATGGCATTTAGGCAGCGAGAGGAGACTTCTTGGTAGGGGAAATGAATACTTCCGCAACTTCATTATGGAAGTTGAGGATAGTTAGGGCACACTCTTTGAATATTCAGGTAGAGACTCTGCATTGATGTTCCACTCATGGAAGAAATGAGACCTTGGACCCTGGTGGGAAAGCAGAGGGTTTTCTTCTTCTTCTTACATTTGGGAAAGGAGGTCAAGAGCTTTCTGATGCTCAGGTAAGATATTCAAGACTCTATTGGCCGGCTTAGGGAGAGGTGACCCAAAAGTTATGTAAGAAAGTATGACATTTAGTTAGAGAAAATACCTGGAGAAATCAAGATCATCCCATAATCCAAGAACGCAACATACAGGAGGAGATAAAAATGTCTTGGTGGGTAGGCGATGTGGCATCTTGTGACACCCCTTAAAGGGGATGTCACCGTTCTATCCTTTGGCAGGCTGGTGGGAACTTACAACTCAGAAATGAGGCCTTCTGACATTGCAGGGAAGACGGAGCATCATAGTATGTGATGTTCGTGTCATAAGATCTTCTGACAATGTGAAAAAAGACACTTGATAATATGCAAGTGGAAGTCTTGAAACTTCCCGTTGCTCAAGTATAGGTGACAGTCATATGTGGGTGCACTTAGTTCAAAAGAAGAGACTAGAGACCTTCAGGGAACATTGTGATACTCAGCAGTGGACAGGAAGGTGGGCTTTGAAGTCGCGTGTCAAGGAAGTTCAAAATGGCTATTGAAACGTGTTCTGATGGCATACACCTCTCCCCCCACCACATACCGAAGATCTGTCAGTCAGTGGAACCTGATTTCCCTTAGACGTGCACATACTGTACTACCTCTCTGGGGGAGGGGGAGCAAGCTGCTGTGTAGTCCATACGTCTGTGGTGGCTCAGCCCCCAGAGAGCACATCCCCAACATTCATAAAGTGAGACTTCAGGAGACTCACCAAGGGTGAATGAAGGTCTCAGGACAGAGCGAATGGGTCGCACATGAGTCCCTCACCACCCTGAGGTAGGAGAGTTTGCGCAGGAAGTTGGGATGTCCCTTCAGCATGAATCAGTTAATCACAGAGGCCAGCCTCCCTAACCGCTGAGGTGGGGGTGGGAGATCATCTTGCTGATTGGCCAGGAGGCCGCGGAGCTTTGTGAGGTCACAGCTTGCAGGCCAGGTTAGGACAGGAGTATGGTAGAGATGCTCTCAACTGCCGTTGTGCTGGTCTTGGCAGTGTCCGTGGTTGCCAAAGATAACACCACGTGTGAGTAAGTGTCGGGGGTACCTTGGTGGGGGTAAGGGCATTTTATGAATAACAGGGCCTACCTAGACTCCCCTTGTCCAGGGCTAGGATGAGTAGTAAGCTTATATGTAGCAGGCTCTGGATAGTTTCACAGTTCCTGTGACCCACATCCCCTTCTCAGACCCTCCCTGCTTCCAGAACCATGACCCCAGAATCATTAGGCTCGCAGCTGCCACGGTTTCCCCGAGAAAGAGATCCCTCACCCCAGCTCTCCTCTCACTGCTTCTCCAGTGACTGGCTTCATTGCCTCTCAAGCATTGGGTCCTAAACTTTAGGAGTCCCTGTTTTCCTATAGACAATTGAGGTAAGTTACCCGTGCATGAATTCAGGCTATCCTATGCCTTTTGCATTGCCGTCTACCTGAAGACTCTTACTCCTAGTGGACCCACAATGCAAGCAGCTTCAAAACTATTGGGAGCCTTTCCACTGTGACACAGTTCCCAGAACTTCCCATCAGGAGTCCCCCTGCTTCTAGTGGGACTCAAATGCTTGTGAGCCTCTGTATCAGCTTGCAGCTCTTTTGTCCTAACCTGGTACTTTAGCCCTAAGGCCTCCTTAGTCATGTGACGTTTGCTTGAGTCTCCCACCCGAGATTGGCCCTTGAAAATCATCACACTCCTCTGCCTCCATAGCACTTTTGACTGCCACTATGTCCAGGGCTCCCTCAATACCTCAAGGCCTGCGTAGATATTTCCTGGAGACTGTGGCCTCTTGCATACCCACCCTTGATTGCCTCTCTTTCCCCAAAGTTCCTCCCCATCTTTCCCAACCCTATGTCCCTGCCTTCCCCCCAGGTGAGGTACAAAGACTGGATGCCTCTTCTTAGTTTGAGCAGTGTCCTGGTTTTTCCTCAGTGGCCCCTGTGGGTTACGATTCAGGCAGAACCCACAAGCAGGTATCCGGATTGTCGGAGGACAGACCGCGCAGCGTGGGGCCTGGCCTTGGATGGTCAGCCTACAGATCTTCATGTCCCATAACAGCCGCAGGTACCACGCCTGTGGAGGCAGCCTACTGAACTCCCACTGGGTGCTTACAGCTGCGCACTGCTTCGATAACAAAAAGTACGTGTGGGACTCGAGAGAGGGAGGCCTTCAGAGTACTCCTAATGGAAAGGGACATTCCCCAGGGGCGATGCCTAGGGTCTCTGGAGCTCTGGGACCACACGGTAACCAGATTCTGGCAGGGCTGTAAGGGTCACTGTCACCACAGGGTTTTGTGTAGCCAGTCTGTAAACGAGAAAGACTGGCTTACCTTTGTGCCCACAGAAAAGTCTATGACTGGAGACTGGTTTTTGGAGCACAGGAAATTGAATATGGAAGAAACAAGCCAGTGAGAGAGCCTCTGCAGGAGAGATATGTGCAGAAAATTATCATTCACGAAAAATACAACATTGTGACAGAGGGGAACGACATTGCTCTCCTGAAGATCACTCCTCCAGTTGTATGTGGGGACTTCATTGGGCCCAGCTGCCTACCTCATTTTAAGGCTGGTCCTCCCAAAATTCCCCAGACCTGCTACGTGGCTGGGTGGGGATACATAAAAGAGGATGGTGAGTATCGGTGGGGCCTCCGTGGTGGGCACTTGTGCCCATTCTCCTTGCTGCCTTTTCATGGCAGGAGTCATGTGTCGGTGTATGGCTGAACTGTTTCAGTTCTCCTCATGGAATCATGAATAGAGCCTACCATAGGCCCTCTCATAACTGGAGAATTCAGTGTGAGAGAAGCTGAGTCCAATGTCTAAGGTCATGGTGTCCGGATTGTCGGAGGGCAGGACTGGCAATAGTCTGCCTATGGAAGGCTGAGTGGCAGGTACAAGTAGAGCCTTGGAATACTTTAGAACATAGCAAAGCTGTGTGTGTCTATCATCTGGAGGCCCAACTGCTAGACTTTGAGCGTTGGAAGCTTAAACCGAAGCAGTATTCGCAAAGGACCTCTGGATATGGCTCTGTTGCCAGGGTGTTTTCTTCACTTTTGCGTGGAAGGGCTGTACCCTGGAGTTGAGCATCTCCAACTTCTGTGGTCTCGGGGATGCCTTAATTCACCATCAGCAACAGGTACTTTGGCATTTTTTTTCTCCTTTGGATAGTCATAGCACCAAGACTCACCATTTCCTTCCAAGTTACTTGATGTTCTCTATGTAGGCTGGGAAGGATGTAGGTGGTGGGTATGATCTTCTTAGGGTCATAAGTTCAAGGCCCTTGGAATTGTGCAGCCGATCTCTTGCCATTCAAGATGAGTCTTAACTTCCCTGTCCTTACTAAAAGTGTCTGCCTTTCCCCTGGCTCAGGCCCCCATGACGCTGGGTGAGTACAGGACTTCTGTAGTAGACAGGCTGACAGGGAGCAGGACATGTTCTAGAGTCGTTAATGACTGCAGAGTTTTAGCCTGAGTCCCAGACAACTTCCCCACATCCATAAAGTCCAGGGTCACTGTTGGTACCAGAAGTAACATGTCATACCCTGAAGTCACAACAGCAAGTAGCAGGGCATTGTCAGTGGGACAAGGCCAAAGACAAGGTGTTCCCTGCTCATGGGCAGTGCTTTCAGCTTCTCGTAACTGGTTGCACAGATTTTTATTGTCACATTAAGGATGTGGAAATGTGGCTGGAATTAGCTGAGCCATCAGTTTCTTCTTTGATGTTGGAAAGTTTAGGTTTTCTAATCCCAGGTAATTTAGTCGTTTGGGGTGTACAACTCAGTTCCCCCCTTAAATTTGGAATTCCTGCTCCCCTACTCCCTTTTCCTAGAGGCGTTCTAATTCTTTAAAGCAGTGTTTCTCAAACTGTGGGTCATGACCCCCTGACAAACTATCTCCCCAAATATTTACATTACAATTTGTAATAGTAGCAACACTACATTTATGAAGTAGCAATGAAATAATTTAATGGTTGGAGTCACCACAACATAAGGAACTGCATTAAAGGGTCAAAGCATTAGGAAGACTGAGAAGCACTGCTCTAGAGATTTACTGCCTGTCCTGTCCTTCCTGGGAGAGGATCTTAACCGTAGCTGCTTTATTTTTGCTGGCCTTTGCTGGCATGTGCTGATAGCTATCTGAGCTCCCTTGTGGGTACCCATCCCATCTGCTGGTGTCTGTGGCTCCTCAGCATAAGGACATATGTTATTCAGCCCTGTCTTATCTTACCTCTGATCATACATGCAGTTTGTGTTCTTGTGGTCCTTGGGTAGCTGGTCTCTGGTTCTAGAATCCCCTTAAATTGGTGGGGGCATCTCTCATTTTTGTCCTGCAAACACATATCTCCTATAAATGCCTCAGTCTTAAAAATCTCCAGGCCCCAAACTCCCATGGCCTATTTATATATGCTTGCTTCTGCCTCCGCTCTGGGGCTGGGAGTGCTACCTAGATATTGTTCCTTTCCCTGGGGTTTTGAGTGCTCAAAGGCCTCTTATTTAAATTGTCTGGTATTGAGAACATTCTGTCTCAGAACACCTGGCTTCTCACAGTGAGGTCCATGACTTTCAAGACTGTGGTTTCAGCCAGAGACCTAAAAAGTTATCTTAGTGGCTGGCGAGTTTTGGGTTGTTATTATTTTAGTGTAATTCCCGCCTCAGGAACAGTGCTTGTACAAACCTCTCGCTGGGGGTTGGCTATGAGGAAAGGTGGATGTTCTGTTGAAAACAGAAAATGAAACAAAACACCCCTTGCACCCTCCCCAAATCCTTTAAACACCCAAATCCCAGGAAACAGACACCTCCTGCCTGCCTGCTGAATGTTTAGCCCTGCATATACAGACCCCATGCATTTCCTGTCTTACTCCTGCGCTCACACGCTTGTCTTTTGCGTGTGCCTTGCGTCAGGGTGTTGCACCCACACTGCTACGGGAGGGGGCTGTCAGAGGTGCCGCCGTTCAGGGCCCTGCTGGCTGCATGTGATGAAGATGGCTGCGCTGGCTCTGAGGATGTGTCAGACGCACCCTGACTGCATGAGCTGAAGCGTAACTGTGTCTCTCCTAACCCCCGCGATAGGGTCTGTGGTAGTGAATGAGGCCCTGACTCAGCTCTCCTCTTTCAAAAATCTCCTCAAAGCAGATCTGAGACACATGGGAGGATCCCGTCTGAAGCTGGGTGGAGGAGTCCTAATGGAGGATAAAAAACAGGGAGGGTGACTTCTAGACATACAGTGGAGAATGAAAGGTGTGTCTCAGGCATGGGTGTGGAGAGGGGCAATCCTGGCCAAATTCTTGACGTAGGTGGGGGGTGCTCCAGTCCCTCATCCAACACGGGAGTAGCAGGACCATGGAGTTAGTGCTTGGCAAATGCTAGTTGTGTCTGTTAGAGCTACAACTAACCTCCACAGTCCCTCAGCCGTCATTAATCTAGGCATCACCTGTCCTTCCTTTCTTCAGGCAAACTCCTTTTACTTGTACCCCCACCTGCCCTTCCACTGTGCATTTCCTCCCCTTGAGTGTGAGGTGAGCCTGAGGGATCTTTGTGTAACCACAGCATTAAATAGGATGGATGAAGGTTCATGGTGGGGAGGAGGCGGGGCTTCCTTCATGTCCTCCTTGAGCACTGACCGCTGTGTGGCCTGGCTGCAGCCCCCAGGCCATCGCCTGTCCTGATGGAGGCACGTGTGGATCTCATTGACCTCGACCTGTGTAACTCAACCCAGTGGTACAATGGGCGTGTCACATCAACTAATGTGTGTGCAGGGTATCCTGAAGGCAAGATTGACACCTGCCAGGTAACTTCCTTCTGGTGCCCAGACCCCTGGGTCCCTCTAGGGATCCTAGTCCCCAAGGAAACCTCACTTTAGGCCCCTCATCTTCATCCTCTCCTTACCCAAGGGCCCACTTCAGTGACTCCTCCCCTGGTACCCTTTTCTTAACATCCACCGTCACAACTAGTATGGGGATGCTATCTACCATCTGTCCCTACTGAGAACCAATTATCACACTGGAGCATTTGATCCCAACATTAGCACACAGAATCCATTGCCCAAGCCCAGTCCTTAGAGATAGTTTTCTTCTTTCCCAGAACACAAAGTACCCAAAGCCACTGTGTTCATTCACGTAGTGAAAGCCACTTGTATGTACATGTGAGCTCATCTTACTGCAGGGCATCTCAGGACCGTCCCCCTGCCCTTCACATCCCAATGGATATTGGTAGCTCTCACTGTACCAGTTGTATGTAAGGCAGCAGGAAACTATGTGGCTTCAGACATTGTTCTCCCACAGCCCCATGACCCTTCTGGAAAGGGAGAGTGGTTCAGGCTGAAAGTGACCCCTCTGTCCTTCTGGACAGGGGGACAGTGGTGGGCCTCTCATGTGCAGAGACAACGTCGACAGCCCCTTTGTGGTCGTGGGGATCACAAGCTGGGGGGTAGGCTGTGCCCGTGCTAAACGTCCTGGAGTCTACACAGCCACCTGGGACTACCTGGATTGGATTGCTTCCAAGATCGGCCCTAATGCCTTGCATTTGATTCAGCCAGCCACCCCTCCCCCGCCTACTACTACTACTCAGTCACCAGTCTCTTTCCAGCCTCCTCTTCACTCTCCTTGGTATTTCCAACACATGCCACCTCGACCACCTCGGCCACGACCACCTCGGCCTCTGCTACACCGACCATCGCAAGGCCAATCACCATTCCCACCCTTGCCTCTACCCCCAACGCCAACCCAACCTATAACCTATACTTTTGGTACACATCGCACAAGACCCCACACAACACTCTCTTTTGCCCAGCGTGTACAGCATCTCATAGAGGCCCTGAAGGTGAGGACTTACCCTGTGCATGATTCCTCACATTACGGTGGACCAATGAACTACCAACGCCTCTCCACTTTCGAGCCTCTCTCCAACAAACCCAGCGAGCCCCTCCTTCACTCCTGAGAAAAGAGAAATGAAATAAAGCATATATTTGTATATAAATATATATACACACGAGGGCATGCTTTCTGGACTTCTGCCTTCCCCAACTCCACCCAAACCTCCCGCCATCAAACCTATCCCCTCCCCCCCTTCACCCTCAAATAAAATGGAATTGCTCATACATTCATACTGGTTTTTTTAAGGGTGAATTTTAACGCTTGATGCTGGCAGGCATTGTGTGCCTCTGTTTATGTAACTGGAGAGTGGGATGAAAAGCTCTACCAGCTAGCTGACTGGAAAAGGAGGGACAGCCTTTCACTAGGAGTGCATATTCTCTTAATGCTACTGTGGGACTGACCCACAGAGATGCTTCTGTGTGAAAGGCCAGGCTCTTCAGAGCACAAGGAATGGCAAGGCTGATGGGCAGCCCAAACCAGTATCTACCACCAAATAACCTTCCTTGTGGCTGATCAAGCATCACCTGTTCAGGGTTATTACAGGCCTGCAGCCAAATCTTATTAGTTCCTGGATTCAGTCACATCAGAACGTACCCACTAATGCTAAACCTTTCCAGGAATAACAGTGGGGGAGGGGTATCTTACAGGTACACCGGAGTTTGGAATTGCTTTCTTACCATCATTAGATATTTAAGAACATCAGTGGTAAGGGACAGAAACCAGTTTTGAGCTTATTTAGTGATACAAAGATATACAGAACTGGTAGGAAAAGACCAGAAGCATTCTCAAGGGTCAGAGAGGCCAGCAAGGCATGGGCAAGGCCTGAAGTTTCCTCAAAGTGGCTGTTGGATGCCCAGTCTAGGTATCAGACCTGTCCCACGTGGCCTGAGGCTGGGGTCGACCTTCAGCCAGATCACATTTGTTTGCAAAGCCCTGGGGAAGGAAGTCCTGGTGGGCTCTGTTCTGCTGTTCACCTCTGATCAAGAAACAAGCTTGGTGTTTGGATTAACTACTTGTGTTTCTAAAGATGGCAGGGCAGAGAGACAACACCTCTTGAAATCACAGTGTGCTCAAGGTTGTATTTTGCTTTTCAGCTGTGCCGTTTGGAATTAGTAGGAGTGTGAGACCACGCTCTGACCCCTTTGTGTTAGGAGTAAAAACCCAGTAAGTAGGACGTCTTCTGGGTGTGCTTGCCTGTTTGATTTGACAGGGCTGTGTGCCGGTGTGCAGAAGTAAAACTTTTTGCCCTACCAACACACTTTGGATTGTACGGTTACTTTCTTGGGAGCCCCCCAGACCTATTTCTAAAAGCCTGGCACCCAATATGAGAGGCTCTTTCTCTGTGACCAAAGGTCCTGGGACCTGCTGCCTGAGGCAGTGCCCCTGGATATGGATACATTCCTAAGCTCCTGACCCAAACTGGAAAATAAATCGGCAGTCCAGATTAAGGATCTCAAATCAGCATAGCGGCAACTAGGTAACTTCTGTGCATAAACCAAGGTAAGAAAATTGGACTATAGAGTACTGTCATGTGGTTGGGTATTTTTTCGGAGGGTGAGAATGTGGCTGAGATGTCAGTCACAAGTTCCTTCAAAGTGGAAAACCGATGGTCCAGGGGGAACACAGGAAACCTCCAGTGCAGGGGCTTTTGAGTAACTCCAGAGAGGACTTGGGAAAAGGAGAAATGAATATTTTTTGTCTGGTGTTCCCATTGAGTCCATTAGGGTGAAATTTGAGCTTCTGGGAAGAGCTTCTGAACCAAGAGAAGAAAAACAAAACTTGGATGTGTTAATACTGCTTTGGTGGGTGAGACACCTGGAGGTTGTAGGAGAGTGACTGAAATGTCTAATCCAATGGGAAGCAAGTGTGGATCCCCGATCTGCAGCTCCAGTTTCGTGTGTGGAAAAGAGCCGTTTGGGTAGAGTGTCAGTATTGTAAGGGTGTCCACACAAACTCCAAGAGTTAAGCATGGCTTCTGATGGTTTTCAAGGGTCTTCACTATAGGAAAAGAGAGTTGGTTGAGCCTCTGATCAAGACATCACAATACAATAGGAAACCAGGTTCCCTCTTTGGGAAAACACAAGTATAAAGGATCTGAGACCAGTAAGAATAAAATGTCTTCTAAAGCCTGTGCTCCAGTATTAGGGAGAACAAAAGGGGAAAATAAAGTGGGTTAAAACTGGGGGTCTTAGGGTTTCTATTGTTGTGATAAAACACCATGACCAAAAGCAACTTGGGGAGGAAAGGGTTTATTTTAGCTTATAGTTCTCAGGCTTATACTTCATCATGAGGGAAATCAGAGTGGGAACTCAAGCAGGGCAGGAAACTGAAGGTAGGGACTGAAGCAGAGGCCATGGAGGGAGCTGCTTACTGGCTTGCTCCTTGTGGTCTACTCAATCTGCTTTCTTTCTTTCTTTTTCTTTCTTTCTTTCTTTTTTTTTTTTTTTTTGGTTTTACGAGACAGGGTTTCTCTGTATTGTTTTGGAGGCTGTCCTGGAACTCACTCTGTAGACCAGGCTGGCCTCGAACTCACAGAGATCCGCCTCCTCTGCCTCCCGAGTGCTGGGATTAAAGACGTGCACCACCAACGCCCGGCTCAACCTGCTTTCTTATACCACCCAGGACCACCAGCCCAGGATGGCATCACTCACAGTGATCTGGGTCCTTCCACATCAGTCATTAAAACAATACCATATAGGCTTGCCTATAGGACAATCTTATGAAGGCATTTTCTTAAGATTCCCTCTTCTCAGGTATACATAGGTTTGTGTAAGTTGACAAAAACCTGCCAGCACACTAGGTAGGTGAACTTGCAGAATATGTTAATGATATAAGGCCAAAAGTGTGGAGGAGATGATTATGATCTTTGCTGGAGAAGGGGACCTGGGCCCTCTTTTCTCTGAAACAGCAGCAATAAAGGAGAATAGACAGCACCTCTAAGTGGGGTCCTCTTTTTATCTATGCTGGGAGCCCCAGTTCTGAACCACCAGCTCCAGTACCAGCTCCTCTTTATCCCTTGGTATCCTGATTAAGAATGAATCCTGAACAATGACAGGATACCCCAAATCTTCCCTTCTAACAAAGAAATCCCCTCAATTGATGTTCTAATTCAGAAACATTCTCCTGGGTGGTAAAAGGGTAGTATTGTCAACATCCCCCTTCCCAGTTCAGAGATCTTAAATTATAAAGGGAACTAAAGCCTTTGATAGAACACCCATATGTGATGTCTGATCAATTGGATCAAAACCTTGGAACCCAACTTTATACCTGGTCTGAGTTAATGTCAATATTGAGTATTGCCTTCTCTGGTGAATAGAAGGGATGCTAAGAGGGTCTGTCTACACATATGTACATGTAGGCAAAACACATATACAATATTAAAAAGATAAGGTTCCTGCTCAAGTGGAGGTCACAATCTTTTTGGGGCTGGAGAAATGGCTCAGCAGTTAAAAGCGCTGTTGTTCTTGCAGATGATCTGGATTTGGTCCCCAGCACTCACATGGTGTCTCAAAACCACCAGTGAATTTCAGTTCTAGGGCCTCTGACATCCTTTTCTGACTCTGAGGGCACCAAGCCCACATGGTACACAGACTTCTGGCAAAATATGCCTAAATCTATCCCCTACCCCCAAAAATTGTAACAATAAAAAGGAGTGCTATGGCTGGATAGGGTGTGATGACAAGAGATTAAAAAAATCCCAACCAACAACACATCCGGAATAATAACAGTGAGGTTCATCGAGGCCACATGAGGGATAACTTGGCCATAAGAGGGATTGGAAAGTCAGTACTCCAGTTCTGGACTACATATAAAACCTTTAGTATACGATAAGGAGAAGAATGGCCCACAGTGTCTCTAGAAAGGCTAAAGGATCAGAGAAAGTATTTGGGATTAAATATAAAAGTGATTGGGACATGGGATGGTAAAGTTACACTTTGTAAGAACAGCTGGCCAAACACAGTAAAAATTTACAAAAGATTTGAGGTTTGACAGGACAGAAGGTTCTAGAGGCAGATCAATGCTACAAATGCAGGAAAATGTAGGGAGAAGGGACATTTCAAAAGAAAACAGGAAGTAATGTCTGTGTGACTTTTGCAGAGGATTAAAAGACTGATGAATATCATTTGTCATCTCAGACTGCGATTCCAGGGCTAATGTGGACAGTTTTGCCTCTGTATATGCTTTTTTTTCTGCCTTGTTAGCAGGGAGTATCCCCTCACATCCAGGCCATTTTGATAATGGGCCCAAGGCTCTTGTTAAATTTTGTTTTTTTCTAACCACAGGGAGAAAATAAAAAAGACTTAGAAGTCCAGGGAAGAAAAAGTTTGCATGAGACTTGCAACAGGAAAACAGCTTGGTAATTAAAAGTATGTGTATAGGTAACCTTAATTCGCTATAATGTGCCATGTATGTTATTTGGATTTGATTCCTACGTAGGGAAAGAAATAGTAAATCTATATGATGGAATTATAGAGAAGGACGTAAGTATGAGTTCATGGTTTTGGTAAAACGTGTTTTAAGAAGGTATTTCAGATAAGGATTCATTTTATGTAATAAAACAAGATTTTTGTCCCTGGAATGAACAATAAAAATGAGGGCTTAGTTATGTTTTATTGCTATGAAGAGACACCATGACCAAGGAAACCTATAGAAGAAAGACTTCATTGGGGTTTACAGTTTCAAGAGGGTGAGTGTTCTGGCTCGTCCTACATCAGTTTGACACAAAGCTAGAGTCATCTGAAAGGAGGAAACCTCAATTGGGAAAGTGTTTCCATCAGATCCAGCAGTTGGACATTTTCTTAATTAGTTATTGATGGGGGAGGACCCAGTCCATTGTGAGTGGGGCCATCCTTGGGCTGGTGGTCCTGGGTTCTATAAGAAAACACGCTGAGCAAGCCATGTGGAGCAAGCCAGTAAGCGGCTCCCCTCCGTGGTTTCTGCACCAGCCCCTACCTCTAGGTTTCTGCCCTTCTTGACTTCCTTCAGTGATGAACTCTGACGTGGACGCATAAGCCAAATAAACCCTTTCTTCTCTAAGTTCCGTTGCTCATGGTGTTTCATCACAGTAATAGTAACTGAGACAGTGAGTTCATGACCAGCATGGTGGGGAATATGACGACAGGCAGGCAGGCAGGCATGGTGTTGGGCCATTAACCAGGAGAGCTTATATCCTTATTGTCAAGCAGGTGGCAGACAGAGAGAGGGGTAACTGGGCTTTTGAAATCTCAAAATCCACCTCCAGTGGCACATCTCTGAAGAGGCTACACCTCCTAGGCCCTTCCCAAATAGTTCTACCAGCTAGGAACCAAGCTTTCAAATACATGAGATTTTGGGAACCATTCTCATCCAAACCACAGAAGGGACAAAACCATTGAAGTTTAAAGCCAAGCCATAAGGTCTGCAGAGAATGGAACTTAAGGGTGATGTATGTTTGATGATAATAGTTTACTAAAATTCCTAAGATTATACTGATCCAGCTGGGCGGTGGTGGCACACGCCTTTAATCCCAGCACTCCGGAGGCAGAGGCAGGCGGATCTCTGTGAGTTCGAGACCAGCCTGGACTACCAAGCAAGTTCCAGGACAGCCTCCAAAGCCACAGAGAAACCCTGTCTCGAAAAACAAAAACAAAAACAACAAAAAAAAAAGATTATACTGATCCACTTGTGATAACATTTGCAGTTTTTTGTTTAAGTTTTGAGACAAGGGCTCACCGTGTAGCCATGGCTATCCTGGAACTCACCATGTGAATCAGCCTGGCTTTGATCATTTGCAGTGATCTGCCTACCTCTGACCCTGAGTGATTAAAGGTGTGTGCCACCACACCAGGCTCCACGGTATTCTCAATAGATAAAAGTTGCAAACGGCTTAAATATTTATAGTAAATAAATAAATTGTTGAGTATATACATTTTGGAACGTGATCCTGCCATAAAAGAAACAAAGTACGTGATACATCTCTCTCTCTCTCTCTCTCTCTCTCTCTCTCTCTCTCTCTCTCTCTCTCTCTCTCTCTCTCTCTCTCCTCCTGTCTCTCCTCTCTCTCTCCTCTCTCTCTCTCCTCTCTCTCTCTCTCTCTCTCTCTCTCTCCTCTCTCTCTCCCTCTCCTCTCTCTCTCTCTCTCTCTCTCTCTCTCTCTCTCTCTCTCTCTCTCCTCCTCTCTCTCTCTCTCTCTCCCCCCCCCAAGGTTGCTAAATAGCCCTTGCTGACCTGGGACTCACCTCTGCCTCCTAAGTGCTGGAGTTAAAGGCCTAACACTATGCCCTGCTCTGGATGAATCTTTGAAAGTGGAAGAAGTTAGACACAAAAAGTCACACATTGCATGCTTTCACTTATGTGAAATACAGACTTATCATTAGTAAGGCTTTCTCTTTGGCGTGATGGAACTACATAGGCTTGGCAATTAGACCACATTATGACAGTGTGAATTTCATCTCAGATATTACATCCCTTCAAAAACTAGCTAAATCATAAAGCATAATGACAGCTACTATGTAGTAGTTGGTATTTTATGAGCTCCCTTACCCCAATACTAGTGCTAATGGATAAATACAGTTTCCCCTTTTCCTGGAGACATGTCTGAGCTAAATTGGAGCCACTTTGCCCTGGAGGACACAAGCTGTCTCCTGTGTCTCATTCACTTGCTGACAGTCCTCTGGTCTTCAGGCAGGACCAAATCTGGGACAGTTTGTCTTCAGAGTCTCACTGGGATTGGAGGTGGTAGTAAAGTTGGTCTCCAGCTGGGATCAAAACCTTGCTATGTCTCTCACCTCACTCTGTTCCCCTCAGTCATCTGAGAAAGCAGCCCCAGGGGACCATCTAAAAATTATCTTCTCAGGCTCTGCCTGAGGAAACCTAATGCATGACAGCTATGTGAAATCAATACTGGTGCATTTTTTAGTACATGAAGTCTATCTCAACAGAGCTATTTACATGAAAGGAAATACTGGGCTAGAATGTAGTTTGGTGATAGAGCATTTAGCTAGCTCATGAGCTCATGTTGCCCAAAATTGCAACACACATTCGTCTCCCCAGAACTTAATAATCATTTATAGTAACTATTTTTTTCCTTTTAGGAAGAATTTTACTCTATAGCTCTGGATAGACTAGAATTCACTATGTAGACCAGGCTGGACTTGAACTCAGAGATCCACCTGCTTCTGCCTCCTGAGTGCTGGGATTAAAGGCATGTTCCACCATGCCCAGTAACAAGTTTTTATTTTTGTTCTAGAAATCTTACCTCATCTGAGTAATGCATTTCTGAAAATCCCTGATCAGAAATCCAAGTTGAAGATGCAAGTATTGCCGGGCGTTGGTGGCGCACGCCTTTAATCCCAGCACTTGGGAGGCAGAGGCAGGCGGATCTCTGTGAGTTCGAGGCCAGCCTGGTCTACAGAGTGAGTTCCAGGACAGCCTCCAAAGCCACAGAGAAACCCTGTCTCGAAAAACCAAAAAAAAAAAAAAAAAAAAAAAAAAAAAAGAAGATGCAAGTATCACTTTAAAGGGCAAAACACTTATTGCTGAGATCTCAAATCAGTATTTAATTAAAAAAAACACACACACAAACAATAAATTCCACTGAAATGGTCTCCTGTAGTCAATCAAGAGTTAACTTGGACTACAGCAGATCAAGGCAGTCTTCCTTCACCAGTGTGGTTGATGATTTTCTTTGGGATTTCAGATCACCGAGTACACAGCTACCTAGTGTGGTGGTGTGAACGAGAACAGCTCCCATTAGTTCACATTTGAATACTTGGTTCCCAGCTGGTAGAACTGTTAGGAAGGACTAGGAGGGGTAGCCTTGGAAGAGGTCTGTCACTGGGGATGGGCTTTGGGGCTTCAAAAGACCATGCCATTCACCTTGTGCTTGTGGATCAAGAGCAAGCTCTCAGCTACTGCTCCCGCTCCATGCCTACTGCCAGGCTCCCTAGCATGATGGTCTTGAACTCACCCTCTGAAACCGTGAGTCCCCAGGAAATGATTTCTTCTGTAAGTTGCGTTGGTCATGATGTTTTGTCACGGCAATAGAAAAGTAACTAAGACACTTAATGCTTATGAAATTTAATCTTTATTGTAAAAAAGGAACCAATATAAACAAAATATAAAGACAATGCAAATGATGCTCACGACAATCAAAGTAGACTAGCAAGCTGCAGGAAGCAGCGCAGCTCTCCCTCTGCCATTTCCTGCCACCATAGAAGATGCAGTGTTTAACTAGTTCTGGAGAAGTGGAGGAATGCTTTCTACCCTGAGATGGAGGCTGTTGTTCACGTGGTGGGAACAGTAATGTGTGTAGATGACCAGATATGGCTAGACTTGCTGTGGTGTCACGTGACTGCAATAGAGCCCCTCTCCTGTGCCCTCCACCCACCTTAGAAGGGCTCCTGAAACAGCTAGCACTAAGAAATCTGGAATTAACAGTTGTCTGTCCAAAATATTGTTGAAAAAGTTGGCTGGGAGGTTAAGAGGGAAAGGGGACAGAGGTGTCACAGGTTCTGCAGGACACAGCGGAGTTAGGAGTTAGCAGTGGTTCTGTCAGCAGGAATGCAAGGAGAGTCCCTGAGGTCAGTCTGGGATGAAAGACAACAAACATTAAATGTCTATTAAGACACATGAGAATGTTCAGAGTCTACACTGCCAGGCTGCTGGTGGGGTAGGGAGACGTGAAAGACATGAATCCCTCATTCTGCTGCAGGAACTGGGATATCACGCCGGTCTAGTGTGTTTGTGTTGACCTCATCATGGACCACAGAACCCTGGGTTTGTAGGAAGTTGAGCAGGAGTAGCCTGGAGAGGTTCTCCAGAGATGTTGGGTATTCCAAATGGCTCCAATACCCCAACTCAGCAACATGTGGGTGTCCTCTTGATTAAGGAGACGGGCTCTTGATCACACTACTCTGCTCTTGGTCTGGTTCATCCTCCTCTTTCTGCTCCAACTTGAAGTTCTGTGAACAAGGTCACAGGTGAGGCCTGACCCTGCATTTGTCCAGGTATAGTTCTGAAGCCCTGAGGGGTGGCAAAGGCAGGCAAAACTCTCTGTGTTGGGTTATGGTCTACAACTCTGAAGACATCATCTACTTTTCCTATTGTACCTTAGCCTGACTTACCTCAAGCTCCTGTAAAACCTCATCCATGAAGTCCTGGGAACTTTCCTTGTAAGCCACAGCTAATCGAATTGCATCATTGAAGAGCTGAAGGTGAGGCAGAAATAGCATAGATACAGCAGTGGGCAGGATCTTGGACCCTACCTTTATAATCAGCAGACTTATCCCCCACGGTATCTTTTCATCACCCTGATCCCACAGTTAGTGGTCTTTGTCTCACCAAATGGGGTCCTCCCAGCCTCTTTCCCCGCTGCTGCACCCAGCCACTCACTGTCCTTGTTGTCCCCTTTCGTTCCCCCCTCCTTGTAAGTCCAGGACTGACAAGCCACTATAGCAGACTGCCTCGGGTATGCCTTTACCTTCACAACATTGGTGCCATCAGCAGCCGAGACAAAGTACAGGGGCAGGGAGAACTTCTTGGCAAAACTGAAGTTCTTTTGAGTCATCTGTATGTCTGCTGCAGAGAGAAGCAGGGCATTGGCCTGTCCACTCAGGGAAAGGGAAGAGTTTGGAGGGGTTAGTGGAGGCTCTGTGCTAGGAAGTAGGGGAGGGACAATCAAGGACCGCCCTTGAAACAGGTGACAGGGATTTGTGTCTTGGGAGGGCAGGTTTTGCTGCTGGCATCACTATTGGGAAGGAATTATCTTGGGAAGGAGAAGTGACTGAAGTCTACCCATTCTTTGAAAGAAGGAAATGTGTGGTGCTGGGTCCCCAGGAATTACTGTCACCCAGGTGCAGAGATGGCCCCACCATCAATTTTATTGGCCACCAGGATGCATGGAATCTCCGGCCTGAACTCCCGAAGTTCTGCATACCAGGTACCCAAGTTCTTATAGGTGATTTTCCTCTGGACATCAAATACCTATGGAGGGTGGAAGACAGTTTAGATGTGTTAAAGTACTTTATCAGTTCCAGACAACACACACCCAGACCAGGTGTATGTAAACTCAGACCAGCACCAGAAGAGGACCATAGAGAAACCAATGGCCATGTGCCACAGGTGACATCGGTGGTCATACAGGAAAGAGGTAAGCTGGAATCCCAAATGCCAGAGCAGGACTGAAACTAAAATGGCTGACACCCCCCACCCTGTGTGTGTGTGTGTGTGTGTGTGTGTGTGTGTGTGTGTGTGTGATTCTGGGGTTACACTACTCCATTTGCCTTATTTCACACTCTTTTTATTCAGTACCCTTGGTTATCAGAATGAAGAATTTTTAAGTTCTCAAGGGCTTCTGTGCTCCAGGGACTGTGGAGGAACAGGTGATGAGTCCCTTCTATTACCCTCTCACTGTCCTCATCTACCAGCTGGCAAGCCCCTCCAGGTGGCCTTTATGTGCACACCACACTCAGTCTATGTCACAAATAGCCAAGAGTCCTGTGCGACTCTAAACCATCAGAGGATGGTGGCATCTAAGCAGAGACATGAGCGGCATTTTCACTGAATGGGTGTAAACTGCAGAGGGAAGATGGGGGTTGGTGAGGAGAATGGACCAGTCCTTTCTGTGTCCCCTTTGTGCTACCCCTTATGGATGAAATGGTACACATTCATAAAACAGTGGTATGCAGCCGGGTAGTGGTGGCACGTGCCTTTAATCCCAGCACTCGGGAGGCAGAGGCAGGCGGATCTCTGTGAGTTCCAGGCTGGGCTGGACTGACAGCCTCCAAAACAATACAGAGAAATCCTGTCTCGTAAAAACCAAAAACAAAAAAAACAAACAAACAAAAAAAACCCCAAAACCAAACAAAAAACAAAAAAACAAAAAACAGTGGTATGCATATTGTAAGAGGTAGGGTTAGACGGTTAGGTGGTGTCAAATGTTATAAAATGCCAGGGCAAATAACAATGGTGTCTACTTATCCACACCCTGTGTTCTTATCAGAGATGCAGCACCTGTTTCCTTCCTTGGTGATTACCGACAGAGTGACTTACAGAGCTGTCATCAAACAATATGGCTCCTACCTGGTTCTCTTTGGGCACTCAGCCTTGAGGTCTAGCTGCCATTCTGTAAGCAAGTCCACACCAGTTCTTACTGACAGAGTGTTCTTTTCACTTGGTGACAATCCCTAAGGTTCATAATTCAGAGAACTAGGCTTTGGGGCTGGGGTTCAGCTCAGTGGGAGAACACATATTCAGAATGCACAAAGTCCTGGGTTTATTCCCTAGTACTGAACCCAATCCAAACCAACCCGAACGAAACCTCAGTTAGTCTACTGACTCATGTCACACATGGCTGGCATGGTATTCATATGAATGTTTTATCCGTGGGTTAAAAGAAAAACATGTTCCTTCTTAGCATGTAAGAGTGGTGGCCTAGAAAATGAGCTGGGGAGCTGGGAGGCAGGCACTCCCAGGAGACAGATGTTCAATCTCACTTGAGCCCTGTGCACACTGACTTTTGGGGACTTTTGTGCAGTCTATTACCCAAAGCCATTACTGGGTGAACCCATGGTAACTATCCTAGACAGCACAACGAGAGCCTGGGAGGGAGGTGAGGACTGGTCTGAGAGGGAAAGGTCTCAGAAGCAGTGGGTAATAGCTGAGGACACTCTTGGAAGTTTCACTGTGGGCATGCTCCATCAGTAAACAGCTAGGGCCTTCTTTCAGCCATGTTTCCCTTGGACACTTCAATGGCTACAGGAGCCCAGCGTCTTGGCCTTTCTTTTACCTGTCCCCATCTGAGGACAGCTCCTCTGGCATATTCTTTTTTAGAAGGTCTGAGGTGAATCGTCTGGGTGGCCTTGAACCCTCTCCTACACATCTGCATTTGGCAGTGGGGTCAAGGACAGATGAGCCCCTTGTCTCCTTACCCCTTGGGCCAGAATTGCCTAGTACCATTTTTTACCACCCAACTGGTTTCATACCATGATGCAGGCGTGAGCCTTGTGGTAGTAGGAGGCATGCATGCTCTGGAACCGCTCCTGGCCTGCTGTATCCCAGAAGTCTGAAACATGAACACAACTCTGTCTGCCCAATAGGGTTGGGGGGTTAGAGGGCAGAGAGACCCCCACATGCCCCAAGGATTTCCATGCAGATCTCTGTGCAGAATATGCATGCATTGTGAGAGGTGCATATGCACTGATATGTAGGAAGACACAGAACCAGAAGGAAGCACAGACAGTGCAGACGGGAGTCTCAGAATGGAGAACGTAGATGCCCTTTGTCCCCACACTGAAGATATGGGGCCCTTCAAGACGGAAATTTCCACACATGGTGGACAGTCAGAATATGTGACCTAGTGACCCCATGGGAAGGTCATGTCCTACATGTGAGAAGTGGTCAGGTTACAGATTATTTCTTGATACTGGCTGCATAATAATCCCTGCAATAAGGAAGTTTACTCAAAGGGCCCTGTGCTCCTCTTCCCTCTGGCAGGGACAGTCTTTCAATGTCTGCCTGCCTGCCTGCCTGCCTCCCCTCCCCTCCCCTCCCTCCCTCCCTTCTTAAGGTTTATTTATTATGTATACAGTGTTCTGGCTGCATGTATGCCTGTACACCAGAAGAGGGCACCAGATCTTATCATAGATGGCTGTGAGCCACCATGTGATTGCTGGAAACTGAACTCAGGTCCTCTGGAAGAGCAGTCAGTGCTCTTAACCTCTGAACCATTTCTCCAGGCCCCAATGTCTGCTTTTCTAATTCCTGCCCTGCACACTAGTCCTGGCCTGGGTGTTAGGAGACTGTATGTTTTGTGTGTCTCCATAAATGCTCCCTGACTTCCCTTTTTTTTCTTCCTTCACTCTCTCATGCGCCTCCTTTCCTACCCCCTCACCACTCAGCGTGGCCCCCAGCACCCATGCTGCTCACCCACAAGGATGGTCTTGCCATCTACTGTGGCCGTGTGCTTATACAGGGTCAGAGCATACGTGGACAGCTGCTGTGGCTGACTGGATGCAGGTTAAGGAGCAAAGGTGAGGAAAAAGAGGTAAGAAGATGTTTATGTGACAGAATGGTCCCTCTCCTTACTAAGTTTTTCTTTATTTTTTGAGACAGGTCTCACTCTGTAGTCCTGGCTGGCCTGGAACTCACAGAGATTTGCCTGCCTCTACCTTCCAAGTACTGGGATTAAAAGCCACCATCCCTGGTCCTCTCTTTGTTGAGACAGTTTTTCCAAAGTAGCCCAGGGTGGCCTCAAATTTATGGCTATCCTCCTGACTTTGCCCTCCCTATAATGATGTTAGATTCCAAGTTGAATGAATCCTACAGACAGACAGAGCCAGCTTCAGTGGCACAAGGTCTAAGGAAGGGCCTGGGAGAATGCCCTGGATACCTAAGTGTGAGGTAACATGGAACAGGAATTTATGGAAAAGTTGTGATGTCACGATGCTAGGAAATGTAACTGTGGACACTTTGAGTCTTTCGTGGACAGAGTTCTTTTTTTTTTCTTTTCTTTTCTTTTTTTTTTTTTTTCCGAGTCAGGGTTTCTCTGTCTTGTTTTGGAGGCTGTCCTAGAACTCGCTCTGTAGACCAGGCTGGCCTCGAACTCACAGAGATCCGCCTGCCTCTGCCTCCCAAATGCTGGGATTAAAGGCGTGCGCCACCAACGCCCGGCGTGGACAGTTCTTATAGGCTAGAGTGTCATGACTGTCCCACAGTAAAAACCACCTACACCAGGCAGCTAACAAAGCATTTACAAACTCAAGTTCACTTGTGTGTGAAACACCAACAAAATACCCAGGGAACAGCATCTCTTGAAGCTGAAATATGCTGGACAGTGGGACTTGGTATAGAGTGAGTGACATCAGCCTTTGGGGGCTAAGGTCAGGGAAGAGACTCAGAATGGAGACTCTTGAATGCAGTCCTTGGGGGTCTACTTAGGGGAACTTTAAGGAGATCTCAGTTACTCCAGATCTGCACAGGGTACAGGATGAGGGAAAAGAGGACACACCACATTTTATAAAGCTTATTCCTACAAAGACTTTTTAGACTCTGAGGAAAGGGGTGAAATGACTAACTCAAGGTCAGAACTACTAAGGAGGTAAGACTTGCATCCTGGCATTTGATACAGACTAAGTGCTAACTGTTGTTCTCCCGGCCTTCCTAGTAGAAACCCCAATATATGTAACCTCTAGACAAAACAGCCTGAATTATATGATACAACCCACTGGTTTTTCCTGGGCTGCTGGTATAAAGGAGTGGACTGGAGGTTATGATACACGAGAGTGGGGAAAGCCACAGGAACAAAGTAATTTCAAGTTTTTAAGGATACAATCCATCCATGAGAAACCTCTCCACGAGTCTGTAAGGCAAATGTGCAAAGTCACAGGTCACGTAGCATTTCTATCTTCTTGTCCCTGCTTTATTACCCCTGGGCTGACAACCTGGAAGCCACTTGAGGCTTCCAATCTCTTGTGCACTTTCAGTCACAGTTTCTAGTCAAGCTTGCACGGTGGGAATCACCATTACCAAGCCCACAGAGCCAAACCACTGGTGTCACTTTATGGGCCAATTAGCAGGGGGCTCTCTGATCCATTATTTCCATCTCACATACTGCTACACATACAATTATCCCTGTCTAGGCAGGGAAAACCCAAGGTCAAGAAGACTATTCAATCAATAGTCATTTTCTCAAGGCTCGGCCATCCCTTAAGGCTTTGCTCAGATGTCACCTGAGCAGGAAGGTGACCCTGTGGTAGCTAAGAAGTTCCTCCCTGACCTGCACAGAACCCCAACAGAAACACTAGCTGATTTACTTTAATGCCTCGTCAATCAGAACAGCGTATGTGGCACAGTGGTTTGGGAATCTTTTGTCTATGGCTGTTTCAATATCCAGGCAGTGTACAAGTATCTAGTCAGATCTGAACACATGAATGTGAGCATAGTTAGCAAGCTTTACTTAGTATACATTTTGGAGCCACAGGGTAGTCTTGAAACCTTTTCTTGGTATTATAACTACTGACTCCCAACCAGACCATATAGTAAATCTAAACAAAGAACAAAACAACAAGCCTCCCACCTCCTGGAAAGATATTAAAATAATATACATATGATTTATAAAACCATGTATATAAGTTTTAAATAAAAACAAACTGATTTTAACACTCCTATGATAGTTCATTTCAAATGTCAACATGATGCAGTCTAGAATCACCTGGGAGGGGGCCTTGGAATACTGAAAACTGGTAGAGAACTCTTGAGTCCTGTGAAATGAGGTTTTCTCACCCACCAACCTTCCGTTAGACGCAGATTCTACCATGGTCTCTCTAACATTCTGCTTGAGGTCTCAAAGGGGCTGGGAACTCCTTGTCTTCAGAATGTCCTAGAGGCTAGAACTGTGCTAGTCTTTTGATGTTCTGTTAACAACTTAGTTTTTTTTTTAACTGCACTGTTGGGCTAATGCTGATTTAGTAGGCTCTCCTTAGCTTCTCTCCAGCCCACACTTCCTTAAAGGTCTACTGGTTATTAGGTCAACAATCGGTCTCCCCTTGCCTACCACTTTGCTTTTCTGTCAGATCTAAATTCAAGTGTGGACCAAGGGCTGATATTTACCAGATAATCTTCCAAACCTTACCTTAATTGTATGGGATATTGCTGAGGTTAAAGCAATTGTAAAATATGACAGCAGAGCTTTAACATAAGGCGGAACAACGAATGTGAATTTATGAAGCTGGCCTAAAACTAGCAAGGCCTCTAGGACCTCCCCATAGCTATCCCGGTCTGAAGGGTCTGTAGTGTGGGGTGATCTGGAATCAGCTGGGGTGGGAGACCAAACTAGATAGGCACAACTCTGTCCTCATTCTATGAAGGCAGAAATGCACAGGCACCCTCACTGTCTCACCCTGGACGGGTGAGAGGTCGGATGCCTGATGGAGATAAGCTAAGTGGACTGCAGAGCTTCACTTCAGCTCTCCAGGCGGAGAGTTCCACACCTGCACAGGCAGGCGCCGACAACCGTCCAGTCTTTAACACCATCCCAGTCTGTCACTGTTGCTACCTGTGCTTTTCAACTCAGGGAGTCCCTCCGAGAAGGCACCTTTACTGCCTGTATTCTACCCGTCACGTTCCTCTCTTCCACTCCTACCGCCCCCTCTAGCAATCCCTCAACCCCCACACATGTAGTAATATCCCACTTGCCACTTCCACACTCTGTACTACTCCAGCAATTCCCGTGGTGACCCATTCTACAACTTCTGTCAGGACTCTGGTCTGTCCCTTTGACTCTCCCATTTCCTCATTAATAGGGTTATAGACACGAGCCTGGCCTGCTGTTCGCCCACACACACTCGGGCTCCAGTCGAGGCTCCCCCGCCTCCATCAGCCTCATAGAAACCACTTCTTCATCATCTCTGGAGGACGTTTCTAATCAATTCATTCTGGGATCGTGTCTTCCTCCCTAATTCCCCAACATACTTGGACTTGCCCACCGCACTGTCCCCCAGGCAGATGATCTTCACGTTGTCGTGAGCATCATATTTCTCCTGGTCCAGCTCGCAATGCTTGCCTTTGTCCCCTGCCATTAGCTCTTGGCCGTAGACAAGAGCCAGCCTTGGAGTCTTATCACTGTCTGGAAAAGTCAACAAGAGGCCACAATTAGAGACTACTTTCTTCTTTTTCCTGAAAGCCCAGAGAGTGCCCAAGGACACACAACCTGACAGCTTGGCCACCATCTGCTGAGCCTTAGGGCTGTCGCTTTGCTACTAGGTTCTCCTGCCATTTCCTGCTGCAGATGTGATCCGGCCACACTCCTCCTCCCTTCTATACTAGATTTACAAGTTCAACAGACAAGTGTTTTTGCTTGTAAAACACAAAGCAACAAACAACAACAAATACTGCCTAACTCACATGGTAAGCCTGATATTTGGCAAAAACAAGCGGACACGAACCATACCATCTACGGTGCCTGACCCATATTCTTTTTAAAAAAATATTTATTTATTAAGTATACAATGTTCGGTCTGCATGTATGCCTGCAGGCCAGAAGAGGCACCCGATCTCATGACAGATGGTTGTGAGCCACCATGTGGTTGCTGGGAACTGAACTCAGGGCCTCTGGAAGAACAGCCAGTGCTCTCAAGGTCTGAGCCATCTCTCCAGCCTCCTGTGACCCATACTCTTGACTCACCTTCCCTTCCCACCTTGCTGCCTTCACAGAACATTTTTTGCAGGTGTCATTTTTAACCTTCAGTTCAGTGGTTCTGCAACCCTTTAATCCAGTTCCTCATTGTCGTGGTGACCCCAACCATAAAATTATTTTCATACAATTACTTCGTAACTGTAATATCACTACTGTTATGAATCCTAATGTAAATACTCATGTTTTCTGATGTTCTTGTGACCCCTGTGAAATGGTCATCTGACCTCCAAGGGGTCTCGACCCACAGGTTGTAAAGCACTGTTCTAGTAGTTTCAACCGTTTCCTAAATACAGACAATACAAACCATACCTATGCCAAGATTTTGTCCTTCACTGCCTCAACTCAGATATTTAACTGCTCATTAGGTTTGTAAATAGGAGACTGGGGCATATAGGGATGTTACATGTTAAACACAAACTGTACTTCAGTTCTGTGCAAACTCATACTCCTCCTTCCATAAGTCTTGCTAACACTCAGCAGCAGCAGCAGCAGGAGCTCGCACTCATTGATCAACTCGAGCCGACATTGGAGCGGGCTCAACTGGCTGCAGTGAGGGCTATGACACAGGTATGGGCACTAGCCTGGCAGAAAACTCAGCAACAGGGTCCCACGTTTGCCCGACCGTATTTCCGCACAGCCACGGCCTCGGCAAACGAGGAACTCGGGCTCCAAGCAGTGATTACAGGCGAGCATAGCGAGGACGCTGCCCCTTCCACCTTCACCCTGCACAGGGGGGCGATCCGTTCGAAAGCCAAACCCCGCCTGCCGATTCGCGAAGGAACCCCTCAGTGACTGTCACTGTCCTCACAGGTCTGGGGGTGGGGCAAGCTCTCTTTCGTGTGACAAACGTTTTTAGGCGCCCAACAGGCCTAACCACCATCTCCCGTAAAGGACTCGCCAACTGTGGTGGGGCCTCGGCCGGGTCCCCGCCTTCCCTTCGCCCCTCCTCTCAGGCGGGTTCCCCCCCAAGCACTCTGTCCTTGCTTCGGCCTGGAGGGACGCGGGACACCGCTGATGCGCTCGCCCACCACAGCCCGCGGGTCACAAAGGCAGCCGGCTTACCCACTAACAGGCGACCGCACTCCGGTAGCGGCTTGGCCGCGTCCCTGCCGCTGCTACGCGACCGCACCAGGACCCCGAGCTGGGCTGTCCGGCAATGGCCCGAAGGACCCCATCGGGGCGCGCGGGCTGGCTAGCGCAGTGCCTGGCTGCCTGGCACCCGCCAGCATCGCACATCGGTTTCACTGACCAGGAGGACGACGGACGGAGTGGGTGCATTCAGCTTACTGGACAGGAGTGGGAGTGGGAACCGCAGGCCCGAGAGACATCTGACCAGCAACAGGTTGCTGCAGGTTGTGATGCCTTGAGAGGATAAACCTAAGCAAGTCTCTAGACTTTTCGTAATCTGCGTTCTGCCCACTGTAATCTGTTGATGGCGGTCCTATGGGTGTGTGGGTAGTGGGGAAAACTTGATAACTGCGTGAAGTTTCTGAACGTGCGATTGGATGAAAAGAAAGAAAGAAAGGAAGGAAGGAAGGAAGAAAGAAAGAAAAAGAAAGAAAAAGGAGGGACATGACTGCTTCTAGGTATGGTGGAGAAAGTTTATTGTAGATAAAAGGGAGAGCTTAGCCAGAGGTAGGAGTGAACTTGACCCCAAATTGGGCCGTGTGAGGAGAGGAGGGAGGGGAGAGGGGACAGCCAGGAGACTAAGGGGCAGACAAAGGGCTGGGCAATCAAAATGGCTGGATTATATAGGGAAGGGTGGGGGGGTTGTCCCTAACAGTAATAATCAAAAATTATTTCAAAATAAAAATGCAATGTATTCGTGGGGTTTCTGGTAGCCTTTCCTTTGTGGCCTCTTGTGGCTTCATTGAAGCTTTAGTTGTGAATACAGCATACACATGTTACACTGCCCTTCCACAATGTCAAGAACACGGCCTGAAATAGCTCAGTCAATACTATTGTGCTATGATTTGCAGTGTTTTACTGAACATATAAAATATAATGACTTAGTTTCAGGAAACAAAGATTCCTACTGTTATCTCATCACTATTTTAATCAGCATGTATCAAGTTAGTATATCTTTGAATTATATTGTGGTAAAATATTTGGATTTAGAAATTGGTGTTTTGTTTACTTGAGTTTCATTTAAAAAAAAGGACTAAGTTTTGGCTTGGAAGTAGGACAGGCAGACTTCTGCCATTCTGTGCTAGAGCATAGCTTTCAGCATTGGTCACACGTATCTAAACTATGAAATCAACTATGAAAACGTAATAACAAATGTCCAGTCAATATTTAATGTTTTAATAAATAAGCCTAAAACAAGCACATCCATACTTTGCTTTTGTCTTAAATGGTAAAATTATATGTGTATCAAAAAATTGTTGTAAAATAAAGTTAAAACAAATTTCTATATGATTTATTATCAGTTAAGTGTGTAACTATTTTATATACCGATATACCTGGGTTTACCTAAACATTTCTGGGGTCATGGGCAGAAACAATGTAAGAAGCTTTGGCCTAGATGGCCTTATGGGAACAGAAATCAGGAGAGGAACCCCACCCTGTCCCAGTGTCCCTGGAAGACGTTTGTGAAAGCAGGCCTTAATGCTGTGTACTCCCTAGGACCTGCTGCTACTGGGCCCTCCTAGAGTAAGTGATAGGGTTGTATGGTTGCAGTCAAGTCTCTGAGAAGATTGGAAGACTGGACCAGAAGCAACAGAGCAGGACCGACAATACGCATGGACCATTTGACTAGCAAGCCTTGGTAAACAAAGGCTCTTGAGGAATGGGGAGAAATGTTCCAAGTGAGCCAGAAGGGATACCTGACCACCACAGTGACTCCATTTTTATCCTGAGATCAGGGAGCTCCTTGAAGACTAAGGGAAGCAGCCTATGACCAGATCTGGATTTTTGGGTCCTGGGAGACAGGCATATCTTCTGGAGGCTGGTGGGGTGGATTGAAAGATATTTAAAGGTAAGATTGCCAGGGAGGTGTGATGTCAAGGATGACTCTGGATATCTGGTAAATATTGTTCTTGCTGTTTGGTTACTTGTCACCTGTAATACTAGAGGGAGGGGACTAGGCAGGACTTGCAAGGTGTGGCCCTTCAAGTTGATGGACTGATACCCTCACTCCTGCCAGGGCTGTGTGACTTCTGTGACCTCAAGGCCACTTCAAGCTACTGGGTTGCTGTCCTGAGTTCTGTCTTTTGTTAGAGATTCCATTTTAACTGTGAAATTAAAGCATTCTTTTTGAGACAATGTCTCACTCTATGACCCAGGATGCTCAAATTTATGACAGTCTTCTACCTCAGCTAAGATGACAGGTGCGTACCACTCCTCCTGGCCTAACGCTGATCTTTTGATGGCTGTTAAGGAATTACATTTCCTTTGGGCTAGAGAGTTGGAGAAGTGGTTAAGAGCCCTGACTGCTGTTCTGGAGAACTTGGTTTCCATTTCCAGCACCCACATGGTGGGCCACAACCATCTGTAGCTACAGTCCCAGAGGACCCGACACCTTTTTCTGTCTGTTGTGGGTTCCAGGCATGCGTGTGGCACATAGACATGCAGACTGTCTACACACAGGAATAAATACATGAATAAAAGGAATTGTATTTTCTCCCTGACAAGGTCCACTTTTGCTTTTGGAAGCCCACCAGCCTAAGCAACCTTGCCCCAAGAGACATTTTCGTAGGGATGATGGTAGGCTCCATTCTTAATGGTTGAATGGGGTGCACTGCTGTGTGTTTGAGGTTGTAAGACTTCTGCTTGCTGCTGGGACAGAAACGCCTCCTACACAGGGCTGCTATATTACCTGTGTGCTCTGTGCCAAAGCTTTGACACTCTTTCTCCACAGAAACTCTCTTGTTTGTTTGTACCAAGGGCGCGAGAGGTGGGGGGAGTGTTGCTTGGAATCTGCTGAAGACCAGAGCCTGCATTAGTCTGACATAGTCTGGTGACCACTCCCCCCCCAAAGCAACTCCCATTTCCTCAGGTGAGGGTTGCACAGGTGCTGAACTATCGGTCTACATTTACTATTGGGCTAGCAGCTAGCTGTGTTCATTGTTAACGCCAATTTTGTTAAATAAATGGAGGCACAACCCCTGTTCACACTAAGAATTCTGACAGAAGGCTTCAGCAGGGACAGTTCTGTTCATGCTGAGTGTGAGCACACTTGCTCATTCCATTCTCTACTAGGTTCTCTGTCTCTCTGTCTCTGTCTCTCTGTCTCTCTCTGTCTCTCTCTCTGTCTCACACACACACACACACACACACACACACACACACACACAATCCACGATGTCCTTCTGAGCTTTATTGGACTATTGGACATTCTGGGTCACACAATGTGCCCACAGTCTGAAAAAATGATGGGTTTTTACCCCAAATCTGTACAATTGCCCTATTTCCGTTTTTAAATTCATTCTTATTTTTTTGTTGTGTATACTCATGTTTGTGTTTGGAGACCAGAGGTCTACACTGAGTGTCTTTCCCATTCACTCTCCAGCTTATTTTTTGAAACAAGGTCTTTTTTTATCTGAAGCTTAACCATTAGTTAATTGGCTAGAAGTGAACCACAGGAACCCTCCTGTCTCCGGTCCCAGTACCTCCTGTCTCTGTCTTTCCTTCTGCTTGGTTGGGGAATGAGACTGCATCTTGCCGCAGAGCACCCTTGCCTTCCAGACTTATCTAGCTGGGCCTCCGGCTCTGCGCTCTCACTGTAATGTGTAAAATGGTGGACCTGCCCCTCGCCTTCTCGCTCTCTCCTACGTCTCTCCTCTCTTCTGTCTCTACCTCACCTCTCCTTTCTCGCCTCCCCCCTCCTGTCTTGCTCTCTTCTCTCCCCTTACTGCTCTCTTTGACCTCTGCTCTCTGTCTTCTTTTCCCCTCTCTCTAATCTCGGCTCTCTCTTCTCTCTTTGTTTGATTTCACCTCTCTTTTCTGTCTCTGTCTCCTCCATTCTTTTCTTCCATCATTCTCACCCCCGTTCTCTCATCTCTCTGCTCGCTCTCACCTCTTTTTTTTCTCTCGGTTTGCTCTCATTTATCCTCCCTGTTTCTCTTCTTTTCTCCACACATTCGCTTTCCTGTTTCCCTCTCTCCTCACTCTGTCTTCTCTCCATCTTCTCACTCACTGTCCATTCTCTCCTCTCCCTCTGATCTCGCTCTCTCCTCTCCTCTCGTTCATAGCTCTCCTCTCTATCTCTCCTCCACTCTCTTCCCGTCGTAACTCTCTTTCCTTTTAGCATCTTTCTCATCTCTCCCAGCCCTTCCCTCCTTTCCCTCTCCTCTCTGTCATCTGCCTCTTTTCCCTCGCACCCCTCTGTTTCCCTCTGCCCAGATGAAAGTTGAGAATTCACCTCACCAGAGAACAGTCTGCCTTTCCTTTCTCCCTCCCCCCCACCCCTGCTCCCCATACGGAAGTTTGAACCCTGTGCACTCTGCTACTAAGCTATATTCTCAACTCTATTAAGTGGTTTTTGATAGCTAGCATTTGACTCACAAATTGACGTCAATACACCTCTGATGTCCTCTTCTGGTCACAGCACATGGAAATCAGTGCACACACATCATGCTATTAAGTCTTCTGAGTGAGACATACATTCATTGAAGTCATGTTCAGGGAATGACATTTGTACTTAACTGTAATGAGAAACAAAATCTTACTACAGATAGACATCGTCTAAGTTAGTGTTCTGTTTCTGTGAAGAGGCACCATGACTACAGCAACTCTTACAAAGGATAGCATTTAGTTGGGGCTTGCTTATAGTTTCAGAGGTTTAGTCCATCATTGGTATGGTGGGTAGCTTGGCAGCATGCAGGCAGACGTGGTGCTGGAAAAGGAGCTGAGAGTTCTACCCCCAAATCCTAAGGCAGCAGGAAGAGAGAGGTTCTGGGACTGGCTTGGGCTTTTGAAACCCCAAAGTCCACCCACAGGGACAACAAGGCCACACCTACTCCAAAAAGACCACACCTCCTAATCACTAACAAATAGTGCCACTCCCTAATGACCAAACATTTAAATATGTGAGCCTATGGGGACCATTCCTATTTAAACCACCACAGATATCAACAGGTCAATGCCTGCCGGTCATTTAGATAACAGGAAACACCCTCACTTCTGCAAACTAAAATGCGAGCATCTATATTTATCTAATGTAAAACAAAACAA